AGCGGCGTGAACTCACGGACCTAAAAGCCGAGTCGAGCGGTTTGTTGGTTTATTTTTCCCCCCCTTTTTATTTTCCTAAGAAAATATCTCGGAATGGCTTATATGCCTACATAGACTAATTCCACCACTTCTGGGGAGGGCATTACACAATCGGGCCGGTTATACAAACCTGGGTTATTTCATAACTTGTTTACATCAGCTGGCCCAGCCTCACTCTTTTTTTGCCTTTTCAGAGTTGGGCTGTCCCCCATCTCCTCTAATATTATTATTTCGTGCGTGGCTCCTATGAGCGACCTGGCAGCGGGAGCACATCGCTGTCCTCGCATCAAGAAGTCATAAGATCATAAAAAAAGAAGGGGGGAGAAAAAATACCCCGTCCAGTTTTAAACTTTGCCAACCGTACCAGCCCGTGACATTCCTCACATTAAAGAAGTTTTACCAGAAATGACTCGCTGCCGCTCCCCGCCTGCTCCAAACGCATCTCGCTGGTGCCCTCTGCGGGCCGCACACCGAGATTTCCAGCTGCTGTACCGCGGCTCTGGCTTATCCCTCGTTTTACCTTGAATGCCAGGGCAAGGTTGGGGAGCGGGAAAGGGAGCTGAGGAGCTGGAAACGCCCGGCTGAGAAGCTGAGACTTTTCTGCTGTCTCTTTCCTCCCTTTATTCAGCATCTGCGCTGGATTCAACCACTTGCTGCTGGAGGTCGTGAAACTCCTGAGCCTGGTTAATATTGGAGATAGTGAGGTCTAACCCATAACTGGGGGTCTCCCGTTTCATTTTCGGGGGCTGCACGTCTTTCCCCGGGCAGCTGGTGTGCTTGGGTTTTGATACAGGGGCCAGAGACTGGTTTCTAGGGTTACTATCTGAAACGGGGCTCTGAGCAGGACACCGGCTTAGCGAGAACATAAATGTTTTCTTTAAGAATCTGGGAGATTTCTCAAGGCCTTGTACGTCATGTCTCCCTTGATCCTTACAGATGTTGTAGATTAAGATCAAATGTAAGCGTTGCCTTTACCCTAGCAGTCGGGCTGTTCTGCTGATTCTGGTCTTCAGAGATCTGCAGTTTTATCACTGTAGAAAATATGCATTGTAGGAATTTTTTCCTTAGTGTCTTTTTTTTTTTTTCTTTCCTTCCCAAAGCAAGAAAAGATGCATCAGTCACATGTTTAACTGGAAACTGTGTCTCTGAGCCAAAACTTTGATGCTTTTTAATTTTTTTTCCCCATACAACGCAGCACTGGAACATTTTTCTTTTAAGTTGTGTGTCATGCTATTTTCCTAATCACTGACTTGCCATGTGGTAAACATAGACTTTCATGGGAGGAGTTTGTGTACTCTTTCAGACCAGTCGACTTTCCCCTCTGATACCCTAGCAGTGTGTCCAGTTTTCCTTCGAGGAGATAGTCAAAGTGGGAGAGCCACCAGGGCCCTTGTATTTATTATAGGATAGGTCCTAAACGCCCTATATTTTATAACTGAGTAGCTGTTAAAGATCCTCGGGGTGGTTTTGTTGTTAGGTTTGGTTTTTTTTCCATGGCCACCATACCCTTTTCTAGACCAGTTTCTGGTGCTACTCAGCACTTGCAGTTACAAATGTAAGTAAGTGAAGGTCTGGAGGGGAGCGGCGATGCAATGGGGTGCGGTATAGAAGCTCCTCGTTAAGGTGGAGAAGGGAACCACAGAGCCAAAGCCTAAAATGTTGCTGTGCTCCTAAGCTGTGACCTGCTAACTAGGCCTGTCCCTGCCCCTGGCAGGACTCATTGGAGACTCCCTGACTGTGGATTGGGGGAGGCTTCCATCCCATCACATATTTTTAAGGCAGAGCAGAGACTGACCTCAGTTCTTGGCACTCCTAATAACAGGACTCTTTCTGTTTGCTGCTTAGTTGTTGGGGTTTTTTAATGATACCTTCATCTGCGTGTTGCTTGGGTCAGGAGGGGAGCAGTGGCTTAGTGGTTGAGTGTGTGCTGCGTGTGTAGCCCTGAAGTCTGGCTATCACCACATCTTTTCTGTAGTGCTGTGAATTCCTTGCAGATAAGGAAAACCAAGAGCTGGCACAGAGGTGCCTCCAGGAGCCTCTCCCAGTTCAGGAGAGGAGAGCTTCGGGTGTCCTGGGTGAGGAAATGGCAGGAGGGGGTCTGGAAAGAGAGAAATGGGGATGTGAGTGAGGGCAGGTGGTGCTTGCCCAGGGGATCCAAGCTCTCTGAGGAGAGGAGGAATGGGGAGAGCAAAGCTGAGGCTGCAGCTGAGGAATGATCTGTAGCTCCAAAGTGGGGAGGACAGTGCCCAAAGGGACTGTGCAGGGGAAGTGGCAGAGAATTGAGAGCCTGCCACTGGAGCCAGCTGTGTTCCAGGGGTCAGAGCTGATGGCCACTGGGCAGACTGGGGGGTTGGGGGGCTGCATTTTAGCATGGTTAAGCTGATCCAGTGCGGAGTCCCAGCAGGGAAAGGCTGACCAGTCAGGAAGCAATGCTTGTAAAATCTAGCGGTAGCCTGAGTGCTCATATCTGAAGGCTCAGCCTGTCGCAGCAGCATGTCCCTGAGTTAGTTATCAAGGGAAAATATGAAATACCAGTTTTGGGGAAAATTTTTGAAGGTATTTTGAGGGATGGGAGAGGAAGCTGGTGACAGAGAAGGAGTGTGGCACAGACAGGGGCTGCAGTCTGACTGGACTCTTCCCCCAGCCTGCAAGCAAGCACCATGGAGGGATACAAGCAAGCAAGCAAGCTTGTGGAGGGATGTGGCTGGACTGAGCAGGTGTTAAGAGAAGGGTCTTAGGCTGAATACAGGAGTGCCTGCGAGTGGAGTAGTTGCTTATCGGCAACTTGGAGCCTGATCGTTCTGTCAGATGCTTGCATCTTGTGTGGCTGATTTGGTGGTGGATCTGAATCTCCTGACCTCTGATGGGAATTTTTAGCAGATCATTGGGTGTTGGAGGCAAAGGTTGTTTGCTCTGGAATGCAGATGGTGTCTTCACATAGCAAAGCACAGAAAGATCTCAGTTTTTCAGCCATAGATTTCTCGTGTCTCTACAAAGAAGTCAGGACTCTTTCTTCTCTGGTTTTTGGTACAGGAGGGATGGTGGCACAGATAGGTATAAAGGTCATGGTTGAAGCCACTTGTGGAGCTGGAAACAGAGCTTGCATCCCTTGACTTGAGCACTTGTAGTTCAACTAGTCTCTCACTTCCTCCCTTCTGGGAGGTGAGGTCCTTTTGTGCTATGGTTTTAGAGGCACCTAGCCATCCTCTCCTGTGCCATGTGGTCACAGCCTACACTGGGCAGAGCAAAGACGGGGATCCGCACCCTTAAATTCCTTTGTTGTGTTGACAGTTTTCAGCTCTGGGCCTCTGTAGTTAACTGGGAGAGGTCACAAAGATGGCATGTGCTCTGAAATGTGGGGTATGCTGAGGCTGTGTGGGACTTGAGCTCGAGGTGAATCTCTGAGGTTCTGGTTGGGCTTTTGCCAAGGTCTTGGTGCCAGTGTCATCCTGTCTAATTCCCCCACCTGCTTAACTAGATTCACTCTGTCTTTCTCTCATCCTTCTTTGCTAGATTTTGAGCTGTCCAAAGCTGTAAGCTGGCATTTATCGGTATTCAAACTGGATCTCCTGGTCTTGAGGCGTTGGCAGCTGGACTTACTGCTGGCTAATACCGGCCTGAAATGCTGTAGCTATCAGAATGTGAAATACTATTTGCAGTAGCCTTGGTTTAACAAAGCACTTAAGGTGCTTGACTAGGCACACCCTGAAAAGGAAATCTGTGTCGAAGTGCTGTCCCTTATCTAGGACGCTTACCTGAGCTGAGGTCAGGCTGATGCAAGGGCTCTCTTTTCTCTGGGAAGCTGGTTTGTTGATCCAAGAATGTGCATTTTTTTGTGGGATCATCTTAATGCTCACAAAATCAATGGTACTGACAGCTGCTGGTCTTACAAACCCTGTCCCTTGCACCGTGACTGCTGGAGCAAGGCTTGTCTGGCTGTAAAACCAAGTCTAACCATTGAAAGCCTCCTGAAGTTGCTCAGCATAGACAAAAGCATTCTTTCTCCCCTGCTTCCCCCTCCGGGGACAAGCGATTGTTTTCCTTGCAGTTTAGTGCCAGCATATTATCCAGATGGATTTACCTCTGTCTGAAACAAGGTGTACATGTATTTTAGAGGAGATCATTACCTGCTGCCTTGGTTTTACTGCTGCCTTGTTTTGTCTAGACAGTGCAGAGAGCTGCAGGGAACTTGTCCGATCTGAATCCTAAGACCTATTTTATAGGCTGCTATTAAAATACATATCCTTGCACGTAACCATCCCGGGGCCGGGTTTCTCACCCTGTGTGTGTGGCAAGTGCAGAACCACTGAACGAGAAGCAAGCTGCTGTTCTTGCCATACCCAAACCCTGTGTGGACTGAGCCCAGATTTTGGGGGAATCCTTTGGTAGGAGAAGGCTTTGCTCTGCCTGGTAACAGCATTTCAGAACTGAAGTTTCTCTTCCTTTTCTTTGGACTGGCAGAGAAGTGTTTTTCTAGAAAAACTCCTCAATTCCCCTTTTGCTGCACACCGGAAGGAGCGGTGGGCACAGGCGGGAGGTGCTGGTAGGGACGCTGCCCTGGGGGGGAGGCTGGTGTAGGGGATGCTGGGGAGGCATGGGGGGGTGAGGAAGAGGGCTGGGAGAGGGCAGGGCTGCTCTGGAAGGGAAGTGCCTGAGCCCAGTGCCTTCCTCAGGGGGCTGTGGTGGGCAGGGGCAGCTTGGGATGCTGCAGAGGCACCAGCAGCCCATGTCTTTGCTTCAGGTGCTGCTTTAGTCCTCTCTGGTGCCGCTCCCGAGGGCCTAGCTGGTTTCTGAGTAATCATTTATGCTCTGTTTTCATTGACGGCTTCTTCTCTCTCTCTTTTACTTTTCTCTCCTGCTTTTTCCTCCTAGAAATTCCGAGTAGATATGCCAGGATCAGGCAGCGCTTTTATCCCTACGATCAACGCCATCACAACCAGCCAAGACCTGCAGTGGATGGTCCAGCCCACCGTCATCACCTCCATGTCAAGCCCTTACTCCCGTTCGCACCCCTACAGCCATCCGCTGCCGCCGCTGTCTTCAGTGGCCGGACACACAGCCCTTCAGCGACCTGGAGTCATCAAAACCATCGGGACCACGGTGGGCCGGAGACGGAGAGATGAGCAGGTAACCATGGTGGGGAGCGCAGCTGGGGGCGCCTTGAAAACACTTATACAGAGGTTCCCCCTGCCCTCTCTCGGGATCTCCCGGCCCCATGGGGAGTGCTGAGGTCCGTCCCCTGCGCTGTACAGGTGCTGGGGTTTCTCAGGGTGGTGGAGGGTGTAAGCCGAAGGGTGACTTGATTGCTGCTTCCTCGTCGTACAGTGGGATTTACCCGATCTCTATCAAACGCTTTGCACCACTGGGCCGTGTTGTGACTCGGTTTCAAAAGCAGGTGAAACTCTGAAGTCAAGCCCTGCGTTTCAGTTTGAGTGTGTGCCACTACAGGCAGAAGGAAACCTCTGAGCAAGCAGAGGAGCTTTTTTGTAGGTCTTTCACAAACCTGACACCCAAATTACATCAGCTGGTGTTTTATATCTGCTCTGTGGCAGCTAGCACTGCTCCAGTCTCACTTTGGGTGATACCACCAGTACTAGCCAGCATCCTGCAGGGAGGAACAGCTTCCTTAGAGCACCTTGACTCTAGGAGTAAAAACCTAGTGGATGTCTGGGGTCTAAATCCACCTTCCCGCTACAAACATGCAATCACTTGATCTCTTTGCAGTGGTGAGGTGGGGATGCCATAAGCAGAGGGTTTTCTGCTCCCAACCCAGTAGCATTTTCATAGCTGGGATGGGGTGGCTTGTACCACTGCTGCTCTGTGCTGAGCCGTCTGATGGGATCCTGCACTAGGACAAGGCAGTGGACTAAATGCAGGCATCTCGTCTTCTGGAAATCCGTTCAGCCCTGTCAATCTCTTTTTAGTAAGAAACAGCCTTCTCCAGGGCTGTCTGGTGAGCAGCTATCCACTGTGCTAGGCTGGTGTCTTTAAAAACAACAACAATCTGAATAATCTAGATCTCCCCAAATTGTTCCCAAGCAGCAGTTGTGTGGGTCGCTGCAGCGCAGTGTACTGAGATGTGCTGCACACCCTCGGTACATGAGCACACACCACTGCATGAGGTCTGTTTCCAATACGACTCACCAGCCCTACCTACTTCATGTCATCTGTTTTGATTCACTGTCTGATTATTTTATGTGGAGTCACTTTCTGGTGTAGACCTAAGAGGCAGGGAGAGGGTTAAAGTCACTTGTCCAGAGTAAGACAAGCCTCTATCTGAGAAGCTGGTTTGGGTGCACTGAGGACCCATTTTTGGGAGGAAGGACAGGCAGCCGTGTTGGTTCAGGTATGTGCCAGCCCTTTCCACAAGCCGGAGCCACCTTCTGGTTCCCTGCCTGCAGGGCTGGTGTCCAATGCCAGGGAAGCTCTCACGAGAACTGGGGCAATAATTAGCAACAACAAATTTGTTTGACAAATGCTGCCTCTGTGTTCACAAATTGGCCATGAAGAGATCACCATATTCTCCGCTTTATTTGTTGTTCAGAGTTATTTGCTGAAGGATGCCTGCCAAGCAATTCCTGGCCTGTGGCTTGTTTGCAAGTTGTTCATTGTGGGTCATTCAAAGCCAAGTCCTTTTGATTAGACACGTGCTAAGGCAGTACCCGGGCGCTTTACCGTGGCTCTTTGGCTCAGGTTTCCGCTGTTGGTGAACACCACATCGAAGTGCCTTTTTGGAAAACATTGTGTAACACTTTGTGAAAAGAGCCTGTTCTGATGAACGTTTGTGCCAGTGAATGCACGTATTGGGCTTGGACAAGCTGCAGATAACACGTACAGGAGAGGCACAAACGGTGCCAAATCCAACCTCTTTCAAACAAATCCAGTGACCGCTTACGGAACAGTTCTTTATAGACCTGGTGTAACATTAAGCACGTCCAGATTAGGACTTGAGCCCCTCTATGAGATTTTCACAAAGCTATGGCCTCTGAGATAGATAATTTTAAAATTACTGAAGGCCTCAGGAGGAGAAATTTTGGTCCCAACATGTTTCAATGAGGTCTGTGCTTCTAGAGCATGAAAGGACCCCTGAAAGCTGTACACAAAGGCCCCAAGTCAGCACAGAATCCCAGTGCATGTGTAACGCTCTGCCGTACTGCAGATACTTGTGTGCAAATACATTTTTACCCTGCACACATACAGGCTGCAAAGGGAACAGGCAGAGCTGTAGTGAGGAGAGTGGTGCTTGTAGGGGCTCTTTACTGCTGCCTGGCAGGGCATGCTGAGATGAAACGCAGTGATCTGCTGATGAAAAAGCTTTCAGGTCTAAAACCTGTCCCCTGAAGTGCTTGTGTTGCTCAGTGTGCATCTGGGGGCCTGTGCTGCGTGCAGGTGGAATCACAGGCACAGACCAGATCCTGGTAAAAAGAAAGCAGAACCAAGTGAGGTGAATGCCCAGAGGCTGAGGTAAAACCCCTGGAACTGCAAAGATGAAAATTAGGGAAATAAAGGAAACTAAAACAAACCAGAATGAGGTTAGATTAAAACTTAACACTAAAAAGAAAACACGGTAAAAGGGTGAATGTCTCATTTGCAATTTTGACAGCCCCTGGAGATGTTAAAACTGAAAGCTTTCATGGAAAGGGTTTTCTTTCCGTTCTCTGCTGGCACTACATGAGCTCTGACTCGTGCCTTGCAGAGCGCTCGTTTCGCTGCTGTTGGCAGCCGCTGGGCCAGAGCCCCCGCAGCACACACCCGCTGGTGGGGCTGCAGAGCAGGGCACGAGGTCAGTCCGCAGCAGAGGAGGATGTGCAGCTGAGCGTGTGCTGTGAATTCCCATGCTCCATGTGCCGCAGCAGTGAGCTGGGCCGTGCCAGCCCTCCTCACATGCTGCCGTACCAGCTCCCTGGCCTTGGCGGTGGTGCAAGCCTATCTGCTGCTGCTGGGATTTACAAACCTCCTCTCAAACCCCAAAAGCTAGGCCTGACTTGACCAGATCTTGTGGGCTCCTGCTCGCTTCCTCTGGTTTCACAAGTGTTGCTTGATGGGTTTGTATGGAATTGCTCCTGATTTACATCAGTGAGGATGTCAGCTGGCCTCAGGAAGCCCTTGGTATCAGTGGCGCCTTGCCTGCTGATGCAAGGAGCACAGTGTGTTATCTCACTGAGTGCCTGAAAATCTGAGGTCAGATTTTTGGGTGGTATAAATCATTGTTAACTTCATGGGAGCGCTGCTGATTTTTCTGTCTCCCCCTTTAAGCTAACAACTATTTTTTGTGTGGGAAGCAGCAGAATATTTTCTTTCAAGAAAGAGGCACTTACAACATCGTGCTCTGGTTTTGCTTAATGTACCACCCAAGTTGTGAAACAATCAGAGCATCTTTTATCTGTTTGGCCTTGGTGCAGATTCACTGTCCTCTTACACAATCTTCCTCCTGCTCCCAACTCCATCTTCTCCTCACCCTTCTGCTAAGACCCAGTGCAGGCAGAGATACTGTGTGCTTTCATCTTCTGCTGACACTAGGGAAGAGGAGGAGTGCTCAGCATCCTGCTGGATAAGGCCTTTTTACTTTGCGTTGTGGTTAAATCCTTGCGAACTTCAAGGAATGCCTTGCTCAGATCTGATTGTGGGTTTTCTTGGCACTTGCCCACAGCTGTCGCCTGAGGAAGAAGAGAAGCGAAGGATCCGGAGAGAGAGGAACAAGCTGGCAGCTGCTAAGTGTCGCAACAGGCGTCGAGAGCTAACAGAGAAACTCCAGGCGGTACGTGCTCTGCATACGTTTCTCCTTCCTTGTTGCCTGCCCTTTGGACCAGCTCGAAGGGCATTGCTGTCCCTCAGCTAGCCTGTTCGAGGAAGATGCTACAAAACATGCGCTGCCTTCCCCTTCCAGGGCTGCTCAGTGACGTTACTCCTGCACCAGTGGTGGTGAGGGCTTGGGCCTGGAGCTCAGAAGGCTGAATTCCCTTTGTTGCCTGCCCAAAATGTCCTAGGAGCTCTCTTCCCTCTAGCCTCCCAACTAGCATGAGTCTTCCTACCTCTAGTCTCCCTCCATAAGTGGAAATAAAGGTGCTATATACTTCAAAGGTAGGCTTTTGAAGCACTGAAGATGGTAGGATCATCTGAAAGCAGTAGAAAATGAAGCAGATGTTATGTGTACCTGTCAAAGCTACATCCTTTAGGCTAACCTGTCCTTGGTGGGCGTAACAGACCTCCTGCACAAAGGAAGCACTGAAGAGAGATGTGGTACAGTGCCATTGGGGAAACAACTAGTTAAACTGGAGAATGTAGGGATGACCACAAGAACTATGGGGTGTGTAAGGGACTTGCTGAAGAGGAGGCTCTGAGGATGGGTTGTGTTGAAGGGGGCTGGAGGGAAGGCTCCAGTGCTCCTGCTCAAGAACCAGACTGGGTCTGGTTTTATTCAATGATCTTATTAAGAAGAACAGCAGCAGCAGTGAAAGTGCACCAGTGAAATGTGCTGCTGCCTCAAATTTGGGAGGTATTCCCAGTGTAGTGAAAGCAGGACATCCTGTAGGAAGAATTTGAGGGTTATCATGACCAAGGTAATAGAAGTGAGAGGAGTGCAAAGTGGGAGGTCATAGCTTGAAGGACTGAGGACAAGTTATTCGTGAAATGGTGAGCTCCTCACACAGGAAGGTATTAATTGCTCACAGGTTCGCTATGACCCATCAGTGTGACATGACCATGGGAAAGATAAATGTGTACATCCTAGGATGCAGTCAGCGGAGATGAAAGTGGAGTGCAAGAGTCAGACCTAACCTGGAATATGCACTATAGAAAGAAAATGGAAACAGTTTAGAGATTGTGGTACACTACCTCTTGTCTAAATGAAAAGAATATGACTTACCTAACACAAAAAACCCAATAGGAGGATATCTGAGTTCTCTCTGCCATGGCGTCTGTCAGGCAGACAGCAAAGGAGAAGAGTGAAGTCACAGGCTAAGATGAGTGGTAAGAAGCTGGCCATGAGAAAATTAAGGTGAGCTCATGAGAAGACTGTTTGTAACCCTTACATTGGTGAAGTTTGGGAATAGCCTACTGGCAGACACATGAAACACAAGACACTCAGCTGGCGATGACCTGGTGCCTTCTTGGCTCATGAAGAGCCTAGGGTGTATCTGCCTGTGCCAGATGGGAATTGGACTTGATGGCCATGTTCTAGGTGAGGAGCAGTTTCAAAGCCTCTGGAATTTACTTATTCCCCTTTTGTCTGCAGGAAACTGAAGTGCTGGAGGAGGAGAAGTCAGTGCTGCAAAAGGAAATTGCGGAGCTCCAGAAGGAGAAGGAGAAGCTGGAGTTTATGCTGGTGGCTCACAGCCCTGTGTGCAAAATCAGCCCTGAGGAACGCCGGAGCCCTCCATCCAGCAGCCTCCAGAGCGTTCGGACTGGAGCTAGCGGAGCAGTGGTGGTGAAGCAGGAGCCTGTGGAGGAAGAGATCCCTTCGTCCTCTTTGGTCCTTGACAAAGCCCAGAGGTCTGTCATTAAGCCCATCAGCATTGCTGGAGGTTTTTATGGAGAGGAGGCACTCAACACTCCCATCGTGGTGACCTCAACACCAGCCATCACTCCTGGCTCCTCCAACTTGGTGTTCACTTACCCCAACGTGTTGGATCAGGAGTCCCCTCTCTCCCCATCTGAGTCCTGCTCCAAAGCTCACCGGAGAAGCAGCAGCAGTGGTGACCAGTCCTCGGATTCCTTGAACTCTCCCACCTTGCTGGCATTGTAATCCCCCTGTGGCCCCCCATTTTGCCAGTGTGTTACATCCCCCAGCACCATGGGGGGAGCCCCCCTCCGTGGGATTAGAGACAGGCACAGGATCGTTCAAGCACAAAGGCAGCAAGAGCAAGGATGGGGAAGTGCTGCAGCTCCAGGAAGGAGAGTGAGGACCAACGCCAGCTCCCTGGAGGCAGGAAATGGCAAGGGTAGGACTGACACACCAGGACTGTTTGGAGAGGTTGATGCCCCCTCTATAGGGACTGCCTATGGAAACCTTTTCATGGCCATGGTGGACTTGGGGAGCACTCCTGGCCAGGACTGAAGGCGAGCTGCAGAAAGTTGCTAGTCGTCCCTTTCCTTTGTGAATGGATCTGATCAGTTGTGCTCTGTGCTTAGATCATTCTGGTTAGCTGATCTTACAGCTCTTTCACTCTCTCCCTCTCTCTCTCTGTGCTTACCATTTACAACGTTGTCGATCCCATGACATTTCATCCAGTTGCTTTGAACTCTAAAGGCTTGTTAGGATCTTTCTTCTCGGGACAGGCTGTGGGAAACACATAGGATTGCCCAGGCAGGAGGGGGATGGCTGGGAGGTCCAGGAATGAGGGAGAATGGGGGGCACAAGGAGCCTGAGGGCTCAGCAGCAAGGGCAGAGCTCAGAACTCTGGCTTGGGGCACAGAGACAGCGAGCAGAGACAGCAGGAGCCTCATGCAGAAGCCTTTTCTTTTTAAAAATGTAGATATGTTTAACCCCTTGGGCTCCTCAAAAAACAAGTTAGCATCTCAGGGCCAAAGTAGCATCAGAAAAGCTTCTGGACTGGTAGTGACCAGTGTCTTTGGCAGGGTTTTACCCCAGTTTGGTGGATATCAAATCTGCTGCTTGTTGTTTACTTTTCCTGGGTTACCTGCTGTCTAGGGAGTATTGCATCTTCCTCCCCATCAGGGCTTCTGACTCAGAGGCTGATCTCTTCCTGTTAGTAAATCCTCCCCTTGGACATATTAGCAAAACATGTTACTGAAAAAGAGGTGACACCATGTGCCTATAAATCTAGGATGAAGACTGGCAGTGGATAAGAGGGTGAAACTACCTGTCTGTACTCTTGCTGACTTTTTCATTGCTGGGAAACAAAGCAGTGCACATCCACCAGTTGATACTAGTGGGTGGTGTTTGCCCAGAGATTCCCAATTTCCAAGGCTGGGGGGAAGGCAATGGTCCAACCTCCAGCACAGCACAGGCTACAAGGCACTCCTGACGAGGCAGGAATGGCATGGTTGAAGTGGTGACCTATCTGAACTAAAACAGGTTTCAACAACCTCTGGTTATGAATGACAAATGACAGCAGAGGAAAAAAGGTTACTGTTACTTGCACTTTCATTTTTGGCCTCTGGGTTTTTACGTTGTAATTGATCTGATTTTGTTGGGGTTGATTGGCCTGAAGACAAAAAACAAATCAGAGTGCTCTTCCCCTTGCCCTGGGTCCTTGTCTTCTCCAACCTGTGGGCTTGGCTGCTACTACTAAGTGCTCACAGAGGGCACAAGCTCTCCAGTGCTGCTGTTCACTACTGAAAACAGTAATGTGTATAACCCTACTCCTGCATGGAGCCAAGCTCAACTCCTGTTGATGTCAAACCATGACCACGTGCACACTAGGATTGCTCAGCTTGCCAGCTAAAGTGCTTAGGGGATAGCTCTTGGGTCCTGCCTGTTGAAGCTGTGGTGGCAGCTATTTATTTTGGTGTGAGATTTTCTTGTTCTTTTATATATACTTTTTTTTTTTTTTTTAAATCAGCTGAACCCAGGATATTTCTTGGTCAGGCTGGACCTGAAGAAATGCAATATGCAATTATAGGTCCAGTCCTGTAAGATGCTAAACTGCTGCAGTCCCCACCAACACCACTGGGAATTAATAGGGTTCAGTTTTGTGGAACTGGACCTTTACTCAGCAGGGCTGGTTTCCCTCAAGCCCTGGCCACCAGCCACTCCTTGAATCATTTCAAAGGGACACTACTTTGGCTCTAAAGGTAGGCTTTGGTTTTTTTTTTGTTATTACCATCATTTTTAAAGAGGTATTTACCAAATCTGCCAGAAATAGAAAAATATGAGTGATCTTTTTGCTTCCTAAAGAAGATTAGGATTCAGGCTTTTTCTTTGTTGCTTAAACACTTCCATCATTATACCAGTGCTAGAGGTTTCAAATTAAGCTTACACAATAAGTAAAATTGACCAAGGAGTTCTTTTGTCCTTATACAAACATCAAAACTTCCTTTTTAATAAAGTAGACCTTAAACTTCCCATAGTTAGCAGAAAGGGTCCTATTTTCATAGGGTTTATGTAGGTGACATCACTTTAGGTGAAACTGCTGTTCTTCAACTGTCTCCATTTTGCCAGATGCCTGTTTGTGCTAGTCTGGATTGAGAATCTAAAACTGCTCAATATAATGGCTCTGCATATCATTTCCACCCATTTTTGAGCAGAATGCAACACTGACAAAGGGTGACTCCTAAAGTGATACAGCTACTTTTGAGGCTAGCTGACCAGGATTGCTGTCTCCTGGGAATTTAGGAGCATTCCTACTAGGAGTTTTGGGAAGTCAGGTGCCTCCTCAAACCCAAATAAACCCAACTCCTAGTGGAACAACAAAAAAACTACCTTTTCATCACTGAATCATTGCCAGAAGGAACTAAGGATCTACAGCTGTCCCTTGCCCACTGCCTGTTGCCTTGGCATTGACCTTCTCGGAGACAGGATGGTTCCCTATCCTGTCCTATGATGCTAATGGGAGCCACTTGAAACTGCCTGGAAAGGAGGATTATTTTCTGCTATCTGGAAAAAGCATTGAATACCTTGTGCCTGCCCATTTTGTCCCTCAGATCTCTCAGAGGATTATCTGTGTTGGGATTGCTGGTCTCCTGCTTCTTCTGTGTTTTCTGGATCAGCCTTACTTTTGTTTAGTTTCTGGCAGGCAGGTACAACTTGAGCTCCACTGACCCTGCATTCTTCTCTTCAGGTTTACTGGTGTGCTTTTTGGGAAATTACTGTCTTCCTCATCCTCCAAAATGGTATTTTCCACAAGAACCTTCCCTGCCATTTCCTAAATGTACTCTTCGTGTTCTGCATGTAGTGGGGATGCGGGAGCTATTATAACTAGTGTCTGACCAAGAGCTGCTGGAGACAATGGAAAAAGGCCCAGGGAATTTCAGCTGGTATTGGGTCAACCCACTTGTGACTGGCCCAACGAAGCCTTTAACAACATCTTAAATTAATCAATGCCAAACTGGGAGGAGCAGTAGCAGCTGTACTGAAGGAAACATTCAGCTTCCAGGTGATGTTTGCCATTCCAGTTTTGCCCTTGTTCCTCCTACCACCTTCCCAGTTGTGGCATTGCCTTCATCCATTCCTTTCTCATAGGCGTGGAGACTGGGTAAGTCTCAAACTGTTTGTGGTGTGATGGGATTTGGGACCAACATGCTGGGGACAGTAGCTCTCTGTTGTGTTTTTATAATTATTTAAATGATCTGTTTAGTTCATCTGAACCTTTAATTTTGCTGCTTACTGTATGTAGGATCCACCTGGCCTTCATCCTAAAAGAAAAGAAAAACAAAATGAAAGCAAACCTAAGACACCTCCCCTCATCCCTGGTATCTTATTTATTGGCAGGCAGCTGTCTTGTGCCTGCTCTAGCAGATCTGCCCATCATTAATTTAACATCCTCCCAACTCACACTCCTGCTGTTCAGTTGTTGCCTTCTTTTTTGCTTTTTGTTGTTGGGGTTGTTTGTTGTTTTATTTTTTCATTCTAAAACAGACTTCTGAAATGTAAGAGATCTTATTATTATGACACTTACAGGTTCATTTTCATTAGGAAGGCCAAGTCAAACATTTTAAGAGGTGGGGGGAACAATCTACATTTTATTTCTTATTTATTTATCATGTTTACATCTTTTTTTCTGTTCAAGACTTGGATATAATAAAGAAAGCATTAAAAATATTCCAATCTTCTTCTTTTTTTAGATTAATAATTTTTTCTTTTGCTTCTTTAAATGAAAGATTCTAGGTTTTGTTGTCATCTGTATAAAATGTAAAAAGAGATATGTTTCTAAAGATGCATTATCATTCCTCTGTGAACAGTAGGTGGAGTTCAGAACAGTCTCAGAATGCAAGATAATAATAAAATCCCATCCTGTTTTACTTAATTGTTCCCCTCCTATCCTGTATGATTAAAGGGTTATTCCACTTTCTTGTTTGTGATTACTTGATATTAAAACCATATTAAAATGTGTAGAAAATAGGTATCCAATTGTTTTTGCGCAGTGAGAGAATAAACTGTTGTATATATCTTGATAAACTGTGTAGTTCAAAGTAACACCAGTAAGGGATAGTGCATCTTTATTAGAGCGATAAGTTACTAGTGTCACTAAAGTCTACTTTAAGATCCTCAGATACAGAAAGGGGGCTGCTTCTGATTCCACTCTCTGGGGGGTACATTGAGAGCATCAGTAGCATTTTGCTGCTGCAAAATGGGTGTCAGAGGTGGAATCAAGCCTCAGTGATTGATGGGTGACCATGAGGATTATTGAAGGTTTGGGGGCACCATTATCTTTCTTTATTTTATTATTTTTTTACCCCTCTAAAGTTTTAGCTCATGGGTTTTTTTTGGGGGGTTTTTTTTTGTTTGTTTGTTGGGGTTTTTTTGGGGGGGGTGTGTGTTTGTTTGTTTTGGGTTTTGTTTTTTTTGTTTGTCTGCAGTGAAATAGTTTCTGCCAGGTTGGTTCTTAAAAGTGACTGCTGAATTGGGACCCTTCTTTACTTGTCTTGATATTGTTCTTGCAGTTGTGAAGAATCAGCTCTCAGGCATTCTCTCTGGCATTGTCTCTTTTCTGTTCTTGTTATTTTACTGAATTACAGGCCTACAGTATTTGCACTAAAACAAAAAGCTTGTTAGAGAAAGCTTGCTGCTATGAAAGAAAACATATTAAAATGGTTTTGCTTTTACAGTTTTAACTGAGTAGC